GGTTTGATAATGGGACACACATCATCCAGCTCTGCCATTTCGTTCTCAGCGTAGCGGGACATACATTTCTGCCAACTGAGAGCATCCGATTTCCACGTTTGACTGCATTTTCCAAGAGCAAAGCGATCCGATGTGCACTGCAGCGGTCCCGCCGAGTCAATATCGCAGAACATATCGCCGTAGTTAGACAGACTGTCGTCTCGGCACTTCTTCTTGAGGAAAACACAGCCGGCATTCCGTCCCCAACTCATATTTTCAGCCTTGGCGAAATTTGCCTTGTAGTGCCCTGTAGACTCAAATACAGCAAGTGTCAGTGCGGTGTAGAACATTCCATTGCTGCTGCCGCTGTATGGACTCATCAGCTCATCCTTCGCAATACGCCGATCAAAGTGCCTGATTACCTGGTTTCCTTTATCTTTTTCCAGCCTCATGCCAGTAGCAGCAGGGCAACCATAGTGCTCAGAAACCTTCTCCTTTATTAAAGCGTGCCTGAGCTCATAATGAACGTCGTTTCGAACGACTGATACCAGAGCAGACACTTTGTTTAACGCCATGTTGTCAAATCCAAGCCCATGTCCAAGTTCGTGTGCAACAATGCGAGTGAAATGTCTCGTATCAGCGATGTCTTTCGGTCTGATATTCATACTGGCAGCAATCGGGCGTTTCTGGAGATTGTAAGAGCAAACCACTGTATCGGGTTTATAGATCGAAACACCCGCGTACAGCACAAAATCAGCATTGGCAACACCTTCTTTTTCGTGTTCTGAGGGGATTTTAACTTCTGGGCACAGTTTGCCAAAAAAAAGAACAGTGTCTCCTGTAATTATTAATTTACCACTCTCACGCTTGACCTTGAGACGTTCAGCATGTAGCCTGATAGCAGCACGGAGAATCTTATTGACGAAGAGATTAGCCCTCTCTAGAGTCATTCCCTCGGTTGGATGACACAGAGCCTGGTCGAAATTTGTCTTTCGCGGGTAGCCCCAACGTGCACCAAGCTTTCTGCTGCGACAGTAGTGAACTGCATCAGAGACACCCTTTGGGGAAACAGCAATGCGAATGGGTTGCCAATTCTCTTTAACCTTCTCAGTGGGATCATCATCATCATCAGTATCGGCAACAGAGACGGTGTACGTATCCCAGGGACCCTGTCCTCTCTTTGGTAGCGGCTGCACAACAGCTGCAATGCACCCGTAGGCACAACACAGCAAGAGCAGCGCAGTGCACAACAGACGACGCATGTGGATATTTTTTTGAAAGCGTTCTTGCAAAGAGTGTAGGTTTGTGTATAGCTGTGTCAAAAATAGAAAACAGAAATGAGAGAAAAAAAGAAGAGAAGAGTAGATAATAGATTGAAAAAAAGTGAGAGGAAACAGATGTGTTGGGTAGAATAGAGAATATCTGTTTGCTGTTAGTGAAAGTAAAACAGTCAATATTAGTAACTAGAAATGATTTCATCCATATGCTACATGACTATGTATTCGTAAATCTTCCTTTTCTTTTTTCCTTCTTTTCCTTCTTATCTTTTTTCCCCCACTTTTTTTTTTTTTTTGCTTCTCTCTGTCTCTTGCTTTCTAGTTATATCATTTTTCACCAAGTAGTTGAACGGAGATGACTATTGGGATAGTAGAACTGTAAATAGTTTCATTTAGCTTTTTCTCGTTTATTATTATTATTATTATTATTATTTTCGTTTTTTTTTTTTTTTCTTGCACTCGTTGGGGAGAATGGTGAAACACACGGTGTACTATAGTGGGAATAGTGAAGAAGAGGAGGAGGAAAAAAAAAGGAAATCAAACAAATCAAAAATATAAAAAAAAAAAAAAAAGAAAAGGAATCAACGAATTATATAGTCAAAGTGAACGAAAAATAAAACTATAACAAAGGTTGTAGCTTCTACCCCACCATTTCTTCTTCTGATTCATTTAATGGAATATCATAACGTTTCGTCCTTTGCTCATAATATATTCTCATTTCCATACTATTAGGATCAAATATATACCATCGTGCTTTGGGTTCCGGTAGCGTTTTATTCTGCCGCCACCTGAAGAGAAACTCAATACTGAAAGTAACAGCAAGAATGAATGAAATGGCCCCAACCACGAGAAAAGCAATTCCTAAACCATGTCCATCTTTCTTTATCCATGCAGAAGTGGAAAGGACAAATCCTTTTGAACCTCGCAGTGTTGTCACATCAAAAAATTCATCAATATCCATTATATATTTTCCCTTTTTTAGATCTACGTCAATAATGCGAAGTAACTTTCGAAATTTTGGAAGAAATGCTCCACGAATCCAAACCTGCAGGTCATAATCCAGTGGATCTGTTAAACTATGCCCAGGTTCATTTGCATACCATCCATTGGTGAGATACACATTATCATTTTGGTAAGGATAGTGAAGAGTCCAAAGTTTAAAACCTGTTCTTAATTTTTTATATCTAATCTTTTCATCTGCTTTCCATGAAATACCCTTCTTATGGCATTTATTCGGTGTGGTACTGTAGCCCAGTGGGTCACCATTCGCACTAAAGTCACTTGAATTACATATCATAGTGATATTCTCTACTGTTGGGGAAATGCCACTATTACTATTACTATTGGTGATATTATCACCACTACTTTCGTTGTTTGTTTGTTCTTCGACATGATAAAGAATAAAGGTATCGTTAAACATAGACCATGGTGCTACTCCACAAGGATTATAAACAAAATCATGGTACCGCAATTTTTGTGTTATTCCTCCTGCCTCTATTTGGACTATATTATCACCAGTATTATCAAGATAACCAGGTTTCTCAAATGGCATACACTCCGGATACTTTCCGCTTAATCGCTCTCTCCCAAGCATTAAATGTTTAGATCTCCCATTATGGAAATCTCTAAAATTCTGAAAGAAGTTATCCAATGTGTAGTATAAATATACAGGCGCTTTGAGGGTTTCTTGAACTTCAAACATAACACGTGTACGTGTACCTTGTGCGTGTGTGGTATTTCCTACTAAAAATTTACGAATACCTTGATTTATATTTACCATTGGATCTGTAGGAATATATTGATATCGATGGATATCACTATATTCCAACTCCACCTCATAATAGTGATCCGCAGCTACAATTAACACAATACCCAACGCAATAAAGATAGCGGATACAAGAAAGAAGATGGGTAAGAGAATATATGGGGAACTATATAAGAAAAACGAGGGAAGTGTCTGTTGGGAGACGGGGTTTCCACCGTAACTGGTACGACCGTATGAGGACCAGAAATCTTTACATGTATTCCATCGCCGCTGCAATAGCGATGATCTTGATGGATCCCCACGTCTGGAGCCCATCCACTTTCTTTTCTTTTCTTTTTTCTCTTCTTTCTCTTTTCTTTTCTTTTTTCTCTTTTCTCTTTTCTTCTGCCCTTCACTTGATATTGGATTCAGAGGTTTCAATGTACTTTTCTATCTTTTCTTATATATATATATATATGAATATAAATATAAATTAATAAAAGAGGAAAAGAACAGAAAGAAGAGGGTATAGACAATAAGTAGTAAAACAATAATAAAGAAAGAAAGAAATACATCAAAAAGTGGAAACAAGAAGAATATAAAGATAAATAAATGGATAAGAAGAAATGAGTAGAAAATCATCGCTACTTCCAATTATCACTGCAGACAGAAAGAGGAAAACATAAAAATAATAATAAAAAAAATCTCAGATAAATCAAAACAAAGAAAGTAAAAAAAAAAAAGAACAATAGTAATTACCCACACATTAACGCCACAACGACTGCAATCAGCAAATCAAAGAGAGAAGCAAAAATAAAAGAAGAAAAAAAAATGAATATTAACTTGCATGTATGACCCCATATACATACATACATATACTCCCCTTCTACTATTATATATATATATATATATATATATATAT